ACAGCATGAGCTGGGGGTACAGCCTGAGGTCCTCTGTCAAGCCCCACCCCCCAGTCCCCTGCCCCTGCCCAGCACCACACAGCCTCAGGCCCCTGCTGGTTGCCTGTTAGGGCTCATTACAGGAACTCGGCCTCCGCTGTGGGTGCCGCCATTTTGTCTTACGGAAACCCCACCTCCGCTGTGAGCGCGGCCACCTTTTTGTGATGGCATGACAATTTGCATATTCCCTCTTTATTAGCTAGGATTGATTTCAGAGAGGAAGGGAGAGAGGGAGAAATAGAAACATGAATGATGAGAGAATCACTGATCGGCTGCCTCCTGCACACCCCACACTGGGGATAGAGCCCACAACCTGGGCATGTACCCTTGACCAGAATCAAACCTGTGATCCTTCAGGCCATTGGCCAATGCTCTATCCACTGAAACAAACCGGCTAGGGCCGAAGCACTAACCTTTAATATGAAACAGAAATGTGGGCACTGGCCTTTGTTCTGGCCTCGATGAACAAAGTTAAACTTTATCCATGAGGGGACGGACAGAGATGGGACCCCAGCTTCTGTCTCCATCAAATACCGGTAGATCTTACCACACCAGCGTCTCCCACGCGTGGGTCCTTTCCTCACGATCCCGTGGACGAGCCCGGTTCCCACCGGCAACAACGGGAGTTGGGGAGAGGGGAGGGGAGGGCCGATTGGCATGCGGGACCCAGGGTGTTCTTGTCTGTCCAGAATGCCATCTGAACCCCCCACTCTCACCCTTCATTGCTTATAGTTGACTAAACATGATGTGTGACATGAATTCCCACTTAGACAAGGCCATTGAAGGACGCATGGAAGATAGTTCAGCAAATAGTCTTAGCGTCAGGACGGTGGAGGATGGCAGCCTCTACGCTGGGAAGCATCTGGGTGCCACTCCCCACCTCCTCCCTCTGCGGAGAGGGGAGAATGGAAAGGGGGGGTGTGGGGGATGGGAATAGACACATAGAGCCCAGACCCAGAGGGAACTCCACGCGTCACGTCTGTCTGTCCCCCGGGAAGAAGCTATTGTTCCTTGTGACAGTTGGCCATTAAACACGAGCGGCCTCGCCATGGTTCATGCTCAAGGCTGGAGGAGGAAATAGTGAGAGGCACTGCGGGTAAGTCTTCAAAGTGACAGCACTTCCTAAGCGTGGCCCAAGGTGGGGGGCAAGTGGGAATGTCTGCGCTTCTTCTGTCCACCAAGGGGCAGCCGTACAGCAAAGGTGGGGGTCAGCTATACCTGTGCACCCCCTGGAGTTCATGGCCTGGAGTCGGGTAGGGTCAGAGTTGGACCTGAGTTAGAGTTAGGGTTAGGGTTTGGGTTAGGGCTGGACCTGCATTAGGTTCAGGGTTAGGGTTAGGGTTCAAGTTATGGTTAGGTTTAGGGTTGGAACTGCATTAGTGTTAGAGCATTGTCGGTTAACTTTTGGGTTAGTGGTGGACCTGTATGTTAGAGCATTGTGGGTTAGGGTTAGATTTGGACTTTATTAGGTTTAGAGCATTGTGGGTTAGCTTTTGGTTAGGGGTGGACCTGCATTAGGGTTAGAGTATTGTCGGTTAGGGTTCAGGTTAAGTTTAGGGTTAGGTTTGGACTCCATTAGGGTTAGAGCATTGTGGAAGAATTGGAATTTTTAATAAGTAGGAATGGTCATTGTCAGGCACCTGGAGTAGTAGAGACAGTTCAATGTTCCTCCCATAAAGCAAACTCTAGTCCTTCCGCACCTGCCTGGGGATGGGCTAAGGTCTGACCCATCATTTGTGGAAAGTTTAAGAGCATTTTTCTTTTCTCATTATTATTTTTTAAATAAATGTTTATTGTTCAGATTATTACAATTGTTCCTCTCCCCCCCACCCCCATTGCTCCCCTCCACTTGGGTCCCACCCCACCCTCTGCCCTTACACCCACCCCACTGTCCTCATCCATAGATGTACAATTTTTGTCCAGTCCCTTCCCCCATCCCCATACCCCTTTCCCCCCTGAGAATTGTCATTCCACTCCCTTTCTATGCCCCTGATTCTATCACATTCACCAGTTTATTCTGTCCATCAGATTTTTTATTCATTTGATTTTTAGATTCACTTGTTGATAGATATGTATTTGTTGTTCATAATTTTTATCTTTACATTTTTCTTCTTCTTCCTCATCTTAAAGAATGCCTTTCAGAATTTCATATAATACTGGTTTGGCAGTGATGAACTCCTTTAGCTTTTCCTTATTTGTGAAGCTCTTTATCTGACCTTCAATTCTGAATGACAGTTTTGCTTGGTAGAGTACTCTTGGTTGTACAATAGGTTCTTGCTATTCATCACTGAATATTTCTTTCCACTTGCTTCTGGCCTGCATAGTTTCTGTTGAGAAATCAGCTGACAATTATATGGGTGCTCCCTTGTAGGTAATTAACTGTTTTTCTCTTCTTACTTTTAGTATTCTAAAAGTTGACAGAGTTGACAGAGTGGCTTTGTGTGCTAGGTGTACTATAGGGCCCAATGGCTCAGCCTCCCTAGTTATCTGAGTGCACTTCTTTGTGGGCTATGTCCACAGTTTTGTTGTAGTTAAGCCTTAATTACTATTGGTATCACTGGAGGAATTGGCTGTGAGAATCAGCTGTGTCTAAGGTGGGAGAACTTCTGTGCTAGAGACACCCTTATGAGGCAAGACTTGCTTCAGTGGGGCTTTGTTGCTCACTGAGTATGCCCTCTGAGTGTGTCCCTTATGGATCTGAGGAATTGTAATCTGGATGGTCCTACTCTGACCCCTGGGTACACTGGCTATTGGATCTCCAAGGAGGTGCTAATTTAGCCTCTGCCTGAGGCCACAGAGAGATCTGCAGATTCCTCTTCTTTGTTTGGGTTTTGGAGGTGCCCAGATGAGGCCAGCTGCGAAGCAATGCAAGCTGCTGTGGGGCTGTGGACCTTATTTTGTATGTTCTGGGTCTCACTGACTTAGCTGCAGTCTGTTAGGTAAGTTTAGATTTCAAAGGACCAGGCCATTCATATGCAAAATCCTCTGCGCACAGCTGGTGTGAGTCAGAGTCTCAGGGCAGAGCAAACAGCAATGGCTTCCCATCAGCCCTGCCCTAAGAGGCCCCCAGGTCTCAATGTCCCTTGGTAATCGCTGCAAGCACCTCTGAGAGAAAGCCGTCCTTGCGTTCCGCCTGCTGCCAGATAGTCCAATTTCTCCCCATATAAGTCTGGGTCCCCAGAGTCTCGCCCAGAACTGGAGTTGATAGCAGTCGGGAATTTTTGTCTCCCTCCTGATTGAGAAAGCCAGCCGCATACTCAGTTGCCAGCCCTCTCCGCGCACATGCCTCCATACCTCTGCCTTTACTTCCGCAGCTCCTCTGAGTCTCCATGTGCTTTTCTCTTTCTTTCTAGTTGTAGAATTTCCATTCAGCCAGCCTTCCTGTGGTTCTGGATGATGTCCGTTTTGTCTTTTAGTTGAAGTTTTGAAGTTGTTGTGTGAGGCAGCAGTTCAGGTGTTTACCTATGCCGCCATATTGGTTTCTCTCTCTTTTCTCCTTTTAAAAATGTTTTTATTGATTTCAGAGGTAGGAAAGGAGAGGGAGAGATAGATACATCAATGTGACACATCCATCGGTTGCCTCCTGCACCCCCCACATGCAGCAAGTCTGCTATCTGGGCATGTGTCCTGACTGGGAATGGAACAGGGACCTGTTGGTTTATGGATTGATGCTCAACCACTGAGCCACGCCATCCGGGAAGAGTATTTTCTTTGGGCGGAGAGTTTTGTGTATTTCCCCCTGGTGTGCAGACTGCACCTTTTTGTCTATAAAGTCATATCAGAGACGATGATGATAATAATAATCATGTGATCAATAATACAAGTTGTGATCAAGGGGGACTGAGCCTCGCATGGCTGAGTGTGGCTTCATTCCCTGGACCAAGTGAGCCCCCACCCCTATCTCTACATTTCTCATTAAAGTTGGACTCTGCCCACCCCACCCCACCCTGAATAAGAGCAGCATTGGAGGGAGGACTGCCTATGAAATCGTTTATTCTGAGCGAGGAATGATGCGGACTGGAACAGAGCCAGGCCCGGCATCTCACGGACCCTTCCAGCCCCTGCCCTACCTCAGGAGCCCAGCAGGGGGAGGCGCTGAGAGGCACTGAGGAACCCTAACCGCTGCCAGGGGTCACCATGCAGGAGAGGCAGGCCGGCCACGCCCGGAAGGGAGAGGACGGTGCGGCGGGAGCGGAGGTGGAGAGTGTGCAAGCCAAGTAGACTCAGCTGGGCAACACCATCGCCCTGGCTCACAGGAGGAACGCAATGGCCGTTCAGAAAGACGACGGTACGGAACCACACCCCACAGTACCCTGTCTCCCCAAGAATCTGAGACGACACCAGCAGCCCCAAGGACTGGCTTGTGGAGTGAAAAGTGACGAGGAGGAGTTGGGGGCAAAGATAAAAACACCACTGACCGCCGACAGGGACACACGGGCATCGAATAACCCACACATGGCGCTCATTTCTACCGCAACCCAACCAGACGAGAGAGAGCCTGAGACGGGAGGGTTTCGCCAGGTGAGGGCGCCGCTGCCCGTGTGGCTGCTGTTCAGGGCGTGGGGGGGTGCTGGGTGCCTCGCACACCGGACCGGGGGTAGGACTATCACCCCGTTTCCAAGCTAGGAAACTGGTGCTCCAGAGGTGACACGATTTGCCTGGGGGCTTTCTTAGCACAGGGCAGGGCCGGCTTCCACACACGGACCGGTTCCAGGTCCGAGTGCACCCTGGTGTGGCCGAGTCCTCCGAGTCCACGGCGCTGCTGCTCCGGAGGGGGTCGGCAATGGCTGTGCTTTCTGCGGGCGCCCGGTGTCCCCACGGGTGGGCTGTCGACGGTGACCCTCGCTCCCTCACGTATCAACATGGGGCGCCGGCCCACGGCAGCCGGACCCTCTCGAAGACAGTCCTGACTCCCGACGAGACACCCTCACGCCCTCCCGGGAGACACGCCGCGGGGCGTGCTTTCGGGGACCGAGGACCCTCATCGGAGTGGCCGGGGTGGGGGCTGCGGAGATGAAGCGTGCGAGAGGCCGTCCTCTGTGAGGAAGGGGGGGCGTGCACCCACAGCCCCGGACCCCGGGACCGGCCGGTCTGCGGGCCACGCCACCGGGACGGCCGGCGAGTCCAGCTCGTCGGCGAGCGCCACGGGAACACTTCAGGCTCCGGCGCTTCCCCAGAAAGGGCAGGCGTGCCCGTGGCGGTGTTGCCTTTTGCTGCCTTTTCCCAAAGGGCCGCCGAAGGATCCGGGACGGAGCGGATGGCACAGCTGTGAGGGTCTGATTGCCTTGGGAGGGAGCGCGCGTCCGACATCACCATTCGACCGGCCCATGTGGACCATTTTGTAAATGTCAGATGTTCAGCAAGTCTGTGACTCTCCCAGGAGCTGGGACCGGAGGAGGCCGGAGAGCCGACCACCCCTTCCCTTGGGCAGATGCAGAAAACGGAGGCCCAGGAGGGCCAGGCTCATCCCAGGTCCCACAGGGATCTTTCTGGCAGCGGCCCACCCCAGCTCCCGCTCCCAGCCAGGCTCTCTCTGCATCTGACGTTCTGAGGAGGCAGGGAGGGCGCAGAGGGGCCGGAGGGCGGGCGGAGATGGCGGAGGTGGCGGCTCCTGTGGGCGGCCAGGGGCTTAGTGGCTGCAGCCACGGGCGCAGGCGGGGCCTGGCACGTTGTTGTTGTTGCACCCATCGTCCCGGAGCTTGCCTGGCGCCCGGCTCCCGGTGCGGCCCTCGGGGTCCAGCTGCTGGCCGCCCAGGCTCTGCGGCCTCAGCCTGCGGACAAGCAGAGCACAGGCCGGTTAGTGCCGGGGCGGGGACGGCGAGGTGCCTGGGCAGGAGGGAGACGGAGGAGCCCTCAGCCCGCGCCTCCTCGGCCTGGGAAGCCCGGTGTCCGGAGGCAGGTGGGCCTGCGGTCAGAGCCCGGCTCAGGTGTGCCCAGGTGAGCTTCTGCACACACGGAGCCTCAGTGTCTCCATCTGTCAGATGGAGACCATAGCGCCCACGTGTGGCTCCTCATGACGTGTACGGGGCCATGGATGTCACGTGCCTGAGCTCAGCTCAGTGGAGGGGATGAGGCCCACCATCACTCATCCACACATCCATGTCCAGTGCCCGCTCATGGACCGGCCCCTGCGGGGGGCACAGGAAACCCTGCAGCAAGCCTGTCTCTGTCCTCAGGGAGCTGAGAGCCTGACGGGGGCGGGAGGGAAGGAGGGTAGGACCCCCTACGCAGGCTGCAGAGGAGTCTGAGGATCTGCTTCCCCCTCCGTCCCCTCCCCTTCCCTCCCCTCCCCTCCCCTCCCTCCCACGGGAGCAGCACCTCTGGAGGGAAATCCTGTCACAGCCAGGGGAAACCTGAGAGTGAGACGGAAAGACTTTGACTGCAAACTAGGGCATCCCCGCTGGGCTCAGGACGCTGACATCGCAGGAGTCCCTGGGGCTCTCCCAGGATCAGGGTGGATCCTCCTAAGATTCTCACTGAAGCGCCCCAAGCAGGAAGTGTCATTTAAAAATAGCCCCCGTGCCGAGGGAAGCTATATTGAGAGCTGGCGTTGCTATCTCTAGACTCTCGTCTCTTCCATTTTAACACAGAACGTAACTGCAGAGCCTGCTCAGGGAGAGGGGAGCAGTGACGAGGGAGCCGGTGAGGGAGACATGGGCCCCGAAATCCTGTGCGAATCAGGGGCGGCTTCCTGGAGGCAGCATTTGAGCTGGACTTTAAGGATTGGTATGGAATGTGGAGGGAGGGAGGGAGGGAGGAAAGGAGAAAAGAAGAGATAGAAGGGGGAGGGAGGGAAGGAGGGAGGGGAGAGGGAAGGAAAGAGAGAAGGGGAGGGGGGGAAGGAGAGAGGGGGGAGGGAGAGAAGGAGAGAGACAGGGAGGAAAGGAGAGAGGAGGGAGGAAAGGTGAAAGAGGGAGGAAAGAAGGGAGGGCAAGGGAGGGAGGAGGGAGGGAGGTGAAAGGAAGAGACACCAGAGGTGAGGAACGGGGAGTAGAAAGGACACCACAGTCCTCTCTGTCGCCCTCAGGCCAGACCACCGTAAGGAGGAGCAGCAGCTGCTCAGTCTCCTGCTCCATGTCACAGCTAGGACACCGGGCCCAGGAGTGCCGAGGCCTAGAGCAGATCTCAGCCAGGCGGGGCTCACGCCCGTGCACACCCCTCCCCACCCCCACGGGTGCAGAGGGAGCGAGGAGGCAGCATCCGGAGGGAGAGCCCTGCTCTGGGAGCCCACCCGCACCCACGCTCTGGGGGCTCCGAGACGGCGCTCTGGGGGGCAGACCTGGACCCGTGGCTGGTCGAGGAGTCTGCATTCCGGGGCAGGCATGGAGGGAGCCACGGAGGAGGTGAGGGGCCCCTCCGGGCAGGCTGTCCGGGTTCTGGCCGGTGGGCGGGTGGGCAAGGCAGGGCCAGTTCCCACTGGGGCTGGGGCGGGTGGAGAAGGCAGCAGCCTGTCACTCACCCTGCGTGGCCACAGCTCTAGGGCACGTGGGGGTCAAGGTCAACCCAGACTCACACACGAGGCCTGGCCAGCAATCCCCACCCACTGGCCGAGTCTCCCGGCCCTGCTCTGGCCAGCAGCGCAGGAAGGACCTCTGGGACCACGGCCGGAGACGCTGGGGTCCAGCACAGCCCACGGTCACTAAGTAATAATGACCACAGTAATGGGCTCTATCGTGCCAGGCCCTGTATCCGCAGCTTCCGCAGTCTGATGCCAGCCACCGGCAAGCACAGAGCTCGCTTCCACGGCTGGCATGAGGCCTGGGAAGCGAGCACCCAGCCAGGGTCACTCTGGCAGCCGCAGCGCCAGGATCTTACATTCCGGAGCCCGGGCCTGTGCGTGCCAGCGTCCGCCGGCCAGGTCCCACCCGCTTCCCCCTCTCACAGCGAGGCCGAGGCCCAGGGAAGGGCAGCTGGGCGAGCTGTCCCCTCCCAGGTCACGGCTGGCACCGGGAGCCTGCGGTTCAGAGGGCTCTGCCCGGCGGCAGCTGGGGGGAGGGGGGCGGGGGAGGACTTACTTCTCTCTGTTGAACACGATGAATTCCCTCCGCACGGTCTCCAGGCACTGCTGCAGGTGGCCGTTCTGTCAACGGGACAGACAGGGGACCGTGAGTGACGGACAAAGGGCCATGGCCAGCAGAGACCAGCCGCCCGGGGCTGGCACAAACAGGTGGGACCAGCTAAGGGCCGCGAGCAGCCCAGCTGGCACCGTGGCTGTGCCAGGGGCCCTGGCGGACAAAGATGTTTTTCTCAGTTTGAAGCCACTAAATCCAACCTGAGAGCGATGGCAGGGGGGGTTGTGGGTAGAAAATCCTGGGCGTGGCTCCCTGATGGCTCCAATGTCCGTTAGGCCTAATAAAGCGTGAACGGGGGAGGGGGAGGAGCGCAAGGCATCCTGTAGGTGCTTGTTCCCACCAAGAACAGGTGCTGAGAGCCACCTGCCACTCACCTAGGCAGAGCCTCGGGCCTGGGCTTGGGGCCGGGGCCCACCATACCGTTAGGGTCTACAAAGATGTTTCAGTTTCTTTAAAATCAGCGAAAAAGCCCGACGGGCGTGTGGCTCAGTGGTTGAGTATTGACCTATGAACCAGGAAGTTACGGTTCAGTTCCAGGCCAGGGCACATGTCGGGTCATTGGCTCGATCTCCAGTAGGGGGCGTGCAGGAGGCAGCCGGCCAAGGATTGTCATCACTGATGTTTCTGTCTCTCCACTCCCTTCCTCTCTGACATCGGTAAACATATATTTAAAAAGTAAGCAGAGAAAAATGAGCTTCTAGCAGGGAAAGCTGACATCCGGCCATCGCAGTCACCAAACAATGTTTGAAACGCTTTTGTGAGGAAGGGCCGGCTGTGGGCTGGATTCTGCCCCGCCCTCCAAAACACACGCTGCCGTCCTGACCCCCCATGGCGGGGGGACCTCCCGTGGAGCTGGGGCTGGGCCGTGTCCCTCGGGAAGGAGAGGCCACACTGGAGTAGGGGGCCCTCCACTCGAGGGCCGGTGTCCTTCCAAGAAGGCCACGTGAAGACACAGAGCCACGAGAGGAATGCCACGGACGTGGAGGCAGAAACGAAGGGGTGCGGCCACACCGAGGCATGGCAGACCCCTGGCCGCCACCAGGGCGGGAGAGGCCGGAGAGGGCCTCCTGCCACGTCTGGGGGAGCCCGGCTCTGTCCACACACTGCCTCTGAGCGTGTGGCCTCCAGGCTTGGGCGGGAATAACTGCCACTTCTGTTAAGCCACCAAGGCTGTGACACCAGGGCAGCCTAGAAAACGAACACAGCAGCTCAGGAAGCCCGTGTGGCGTGCCCAGGGCCCGCGAACGTCACCCCGTGGCCCGGGCGGCCTCCGCGGTGGCACAGGACCTCCCTCTGGGTGCTCAGGAGCCAGCGCACGGGGGCCCACGCGCTCAGCTTTGAGCTCCCGCCTGGAGACTCACGAGGTCCCTGCACCGGGACTTTGCTTCCGTCACGTGAACGTTCGGAGCGCCACGTGTAGCTCAGGCCGTTTCCCGCGATGAAGACCACGTGGGGGTGGAGGCCCCTCACTTGCAGCCCATGAGGGCATTTGGGGGGCGACGTGACAGGCCTCATCTGTCTAAAGGGCAGCCTAGCGCCCAGCGGGCGTGGCTCCGTGACTGAGCGTCCAACCGTGAGCCAGGAGTCACGCTTCCATTCCCGCAGGGCACAGGCCTGGGTTGTGGGCTCTATCCCTGGGGGGCGTGCAGGAGGCAGCCGATCCTTTCATCATAAGAGAGATGATTTTTCTCTCTCTCTAGCCCTCCCTCTGAAATCAATAAAAACATATTTTAAAATCACAAATAGGAAATAAAAGGCAGCCTAGCTCCATCGCATCCCTGGGAGCACAGGACTCCGGCCCTCCGGGTCCCCCCTCTACCACTCTCCCCCGCCATGGCGCTCACCAGTGCCCCCCACCCAACCGCCATGGCGCTCACCAGTGGACCCCCTCCCCCCCACCACCATGGCGCTCACCAGCGGGCAGCTGTCCTTCGTGCCGTCTCTGGACCTGTTCTTCGCCAGCCTCTTCTTCTTCTTGTGAAGGGGCTTGGATTCGAGAATCATTTCTTCGAGTTCAAACGTGGGGTCACAATTCAGTCTCCCTTTCTGAAGGAAAGCAGGGTTTGTCCTTCTTCCACCCATCATCGAACTTGACTTCACTCATTCATCCACTCAGTCACTCATTCAACAGACTCCTGTGGGGTGTGTCTGCTGTGTATCTTTTTTTGATGATGAGAAGCAACACATTCCCCCCGAACAGGCCCTCTGATGACCCCCACGGCCCCTCCCACACTCCATGTGGGCGGCCCCACCATCGCTGTCCACGTGCTCCCTTCCCAGGGACGGATGGTCCTTCACAAGGCTGAGTTTAGTTTTCCGATCTGACATTTCCACATGTTTTACCAGAAGTTCTCATGCCATCACTCCCTGTCCTGTAGATATCGTTATCACTCCTTCCGTGTAAAATGCCATTTCTCATGCTTCCCGTTTCCAGTCCTGGTTCCCCCTCCTCCGCAGCTGGAGCCGGTGGACCCCGGCCTGGCCACCTGGAGGCTGGCCCCGCCCACTGTGGCCGGAGGGATGTGGGTCTCCCTGCCTTCCAGTTCTTGGGTCCGAAACCTCAGGTGCCTTGTCTGTCCTGAGACCCATCCAGGGTGCCAGTCCCCTTGGGCAGCACACCTGGTAGTTTTTTTGTTTTGTTTTTAAACGTATTTTCATTGATTTTTTACAGAGAGGAAGGGAGAGAGAGAGCTAGAAACGTTGATGAGAGAGAAACATCGACCAGCTGCCTCTTGCACACCCCCCACCAAGGATATGCCCGTAACCAACGTACATGCCCTTGACCGGAATCGAACCCGGGACCCTTCAGTCTGCAGACACTCTACCGCTGAGCCAAACCGGTTTCGGCCACACCTGGTAGTTTTAACCTCCACGGCTCTGGAGGTGCGACTCTCCCAATGAGCAGCTGGGATTTCAGGCCCAAGTGTTTCCTGGCCCGATTTATCTGCCATTCATTCATTCACTCACTCACTCACTCACTCCAATGCAGGCTCTGGATCCAGACTGTCTGAGGTCAAGCCTGGTTCTGCCCACCTCTCACAGAATGATCGGGCAGTTTCCTGACCTGAGAACTTGGACAGACGCACTGCCCTGTGGAGAAGCTTGCATGAGATGCTGGGTGTGCATGCCAGGCACACACTGCACCCAGCTGGCTGCTGTCTCTCCTGCAGGTGCTCTCAGGAGGTGAGACACACTGAGCCTCCTGGTGCCGTCGAAGGCCACCCATCCTGGGGTCTCCCCCGGGCCCAGGTTGGCCCCCCTCCTGGTCCCCACTCTCTGAAGTCTCAGGAGGATGGCAGACAGGACCTTATTAACCACTAACGGAGAGACACTGCCCCCAGAGCAGAAGCAGTGCTGACTCTCCCTCAGGCCAGTCCTGCGTGCATGCTGAGTCTTGAAGGAGGGGTGGGACCCTGCAGGACATGGGGGGGGTGGTGGTGGCGTGCCATCAGACGGGACCCCCACTCACATTGGGCACAAAGCTGGGGGTCAACGCTTTCTCCAACACCGCGTCCCAGTTCACGTCGGCCAGGTAGGGCGTGCTCTGAACGTCGCTGAGGCTGGACAGGCGGCTCTCGGGATCCTTGGTCAGGAGCTGGGGACACAGGGCAGAGTGATTGCCTGAGCTGTGCGCCACCAAGGTGGGCGGGAGGCTGAGGGCCGGGTCACGCTCCAGCCGGGTCGCCCCGTCTGGGACGCTGTCATTGGAAGTGTCACCAAAACCCATCTCTTTACAACAGGGAGGGATGGAGGGGTCAGGCTGCTTCTGCAGGGCATCCAGCCACGGGCCCTTGGGCGGGGACAAACCCTGCAGCCGCTGCCTCCCCTCGGGGACCATGGCCCGTGACACGCTGGCTTGTAGGGGAGCACAAGAGACTTGGTCGGAAAGTCTGTAAGGAGGAAATTCCGACCTAGGGGAGTCGGTTGAAGGTGGCAGCCCTAAGTGTTCCTTGACCTTTCCAAGCGAGTCTGTGTGCATGTGGACCCTTGGGTGTTTACCGGGATCTTTATGCTTAATCTTTAGGCGTGCTTGCTTAAAGGACACTGCAGACATATGCGTCCTCCCAAGATTACTACCTTACTGATAAACCTTATCCAAACTGCTGCCACAATAAAAGCCGGAAGAGGCCGGCGAGTGAGGCTGTCTGGTTCCCTTAGCCCTTTCTTTCACAGAAATGTGCGTCAGAGTAATCATTCACCTGTCGCTCAGGGGACAAGTGAGGTCAGGGCACCAGGCCACAGAGGGCGCCTTGGACGGTCCCAGGGGAACTATGACCCTTGGCACATCCCATTATCAAGCTGAAAGTCCTGAGACGAGACAGCTGGTTTTTTTATTCTTAATTGGAAGCCTCTGGGATACAAGGGAGAGCCAGTGGGGCTGAGGAATCCGGTGGTGACTGCAAAGCAAGTCGGCAGAGAGTGATTCCGCGCGTCATCCATGGGGGAGGAGCGAGCGCTGGGGTCGGGGCTGGGGAGCTGGGGCAGAATCCTCCTCTGCTCCTTCGCAGCCCCGGGCACTGCCGGCAGGTTTCACTTTCCTGAGCCTCAGACTTCTCATCTCTACTGCGGGGACAACACCACTGCTCAGGGTCAAACACAGGCTTGTCTCGATGAAGGGAGAAGACCCAGCCCATGGCCTAGGACATACTATTCCCTCGACCAGCGCTGGCATGTGACCACCAGTGCCGTCAGCTGACACATCTTGGAGGATTCCCAGGGGCCACTGCTGAAGGCCAGCCCAAAGGGAGGACACCCAGCCTACTGCCCCCGAGTGCACAGAGCCCCCCCCGCTCCCCTTCGATAGCTCGTGGAGACACACACAGCCCGGCCCACCCCGGGCTCCGACTCTGAGAATCGGCCTTTCCAACAAGCCCCGGGAGGTGCCGACCCCGCTGGTCCCCGGAACACACTTTGAGAACCTCTGCTTCATGTAACACCGACAGTTCCTGCAATGGTCCCGAGATGCCCAGTGCCTTCGAGCCCAGTGATGGGAAGACGCTTTGTAGCTAACATGTGAGAGCCACCCGCAGTGAGGGTCTCTGTGCTGGGGTCCGTGCCGGTGTGCAAGGGTCCGGCATGCCGTCACCACTGGGAGTCCGGGCCCGGCTCGCCGGCCAGCAGCTTGTGACCCTGAATGCCGGATGCTGAGAGCCCTGCTCTCCTTCTCCCGTCCCTCCGTTTCCTCCTTCCTCGTGGTGCCGGAAGCCCGAGTCTGTGCCACGGCCCCATTCCCGCCGGCGGGCGGCGGCCCCCTTACCTTCCTCAGCAGGGCGACCATGCCCTGGCCCCATGTGGAGGAGTAGTGCACACGCTCCGCCTGGAACATGTTCAGGATCTCCGTCACGGGCATGGCCGAGTGGATCTCGTACGGCCTCTGCAGAGACAACGGGCAGGATCAGAGAGAGCGACAGGACACGGCGCTGGCCGGGTTAAAACCATAATACAGCCGCCGGTGTGGCTTGGTGATTCGGCCTCAACCCATGAACCAGGAGGTCTCGGTTTGATTCCCGGTCAGGGCACATGGCCAGGATTGCAGGCTCGATCCCCAGTGTGGGGCGTGCAGGAAGCAGCCAACCCATGATTCTCTCTCATCATTGATGTTTTTCTCTTTCTCTCTCCATTTCCCTTCCTCTCTGAAATCAATACACACACACACACACACACACATATTCTTTTTTAAAAGAAAGCGTTTATCTTTGAAGCAGTAAGAACCACTCCATCCTTGGGGCTTTGGCCACATCGTCATCTTTGATGGTTCTGACTTGTGAGGGAGACAGAGAAGGAACTTTCTACTGGCCAAGGCCCAACCAAGGTTATGTGAGCTGCTCACTGCAGTCACTGGCCTGACTATCGGAGAAGTCAGCGTCTGGCAACGCTCTTGTCCTCTGGTTCTGACAAATACGATGGACCCTCATAATCCTCCCCTGAGTATGTGCGTCTGTGGAACCACAGACGACAGGGACAGGCCAGGATGAGGCAGCCTGTGGGAGATCAACCTTTCCATTCATGAGAAAATGAGCAGACTCATAGTTGTTTTTGTTGTTTTAATTCTAAAAAGCACCATTCCACTTTGAGGAATTCAGGGGAAGTAACTGATGGAGAGTAGATCACAGCTGCTTAGCTACAGGGTGTGAGTAATACATATGTGTCCTCTCAGAGCACTGACGGCTTGTAGACTACTCCATTAATTAATTAATTAATCAATCACCCGTGGCCACCATGCCCGGGCCTTGACCTCACTGGCTACTGGGCTGACGGCCCCTGTGTGCAAGGGGCAGAGCGCACCACAGTGGGAGAAATGGGGTGCTGCCCGGAAGGTGAGTGACACGTGTACCACACGCAGCAGCCCAGAGCGGTGAACGCCGAGAGAGGATGGGCCAGTCCCCATGTGCGGGAAGCCGCGTCTGAGAGGTGAGGGGGCCTGTGTAAATGCTCCTTGTGCAGAGAAAACAGCCTCAGAGTCTGTGTCATCGTTCCTCCTGCTCAAATACAACGACGGGACCCTTGCTGCCAGGCAGCTCCAGGGGCCATCTTTGGTTCTTCCCTTTAAATGCGATCAAGTGAAAATACATTCCGGGTGCCCCATCTTTCTGGGACACCGAGCTGAGGTGCTCAGGGAAGATCGGGATGAACAGACCCACAGAGCCCGCGAAGGACGCACGGCCTGCACCCCGCCAGGGCTTCAGACCAAGCGGGAAAGTGGGGAGGACATCGTGTGGGGGTGGGAGGAGGCAGCGTTGGCAATCACGGGCCAAGGCGCTCCCCCCGTCAGAGCTGCCAGTGATGAGCTGATGACCTTCGCACAGCCTCCCGCTCCCGGCGTCCCTTGCCCATGAGCAGAGAAGCTCGCTAAGCTCAGGGGCCTCAGAGCTGGCACACACACACACACCATGGGGACTGGCACTCAGGCCTCTGTCTCCTCACACTGTGCTCTTTCCTGCCACCTGGTGCCAGCCCAGCAAAATGGTGTGCCTAGTCCCCCCAAGCCTCCACTTCCACGGTCCCGTGTGCCCATTGTGCGGGTGCACGTCTTACCCAGCCCCGCAGCAGCTCGTAGGCCGTGATGCCCAGGGACCACCAGTCGACGGGGTAGGAGTACCCGGGGCCTCCATCCACGTAGGCCTGAAACACCTCCGGGGCTGCAGCAGACAGGATGGAGAGATGTCGCCGCGGCTGAAGCACACCTCCCACCCCTGAGAGGGGAAGAGCGTCCCTGCAGGTGAGGCCTGTAAGGAACCCACAGTGCGGGGGACTGGTTCCTGCTGACTCCCAGTGAATCAGGCGTCTGCAGACCCCTCCCACTGGGCTCCTGGCCTGGATCATGTGACTTGTTCTGGCCAACTGGAGCCGAGAAATGTGCGGCAAGCAGGGTCTCCATGAGCATGTGGGGACCGGGTTCTCCTCGAGGCCACTGTCACCATGTGTGCAGGCTCTCATCACGGGGACCATGCAGGGAGAGGCCATTCCTCTCAGCTCTCCTGGCGGAGCTGGCCCCCAGCTGGCCCACCGGCTGAATGAGTGAGCCCAGCCCAAACCAGCAAAGAACCGTCCAGCCCCATGGCAGGATTGTGAGAAGTCATGTGAGTTTTTATGTGGTTTGTTACTAAGGAAAACGGGAACTCACATAGACATCAAGACTTAAGAACTAAGAGACATGAATAAAATTATACAAGACATAAAAGGACAACATACATTTGAACGGAAAAACTCAGCAATCAGGCCAAAGAACTTGGGAGGGGGGGGGGGATCAGCAATAAAGGGAAACTATTTCAGTAATACATACTATACTAGAAAGCACACAAAGTGAATACACTCAACAGATCATGCTTTAAAAGGAGAGAGAAAGAAAGATGAGGAAAGTTTAAATGAATGAAGGGAGATAGAAGATTTGAAAATGACAAGTAATGAAGGGTGGCAGAGAAGACCCAACTTTCAGATAATCGGCGTCCTTAGAGAAAACAGAATGCTTGCCCAAAATAACACTCCTGCCCAAAACCATGAAGAAAACCCAGCCTGAAGCCACACATGGTGTACTGCAGCATACAGACTCAACTGACCAACACCAAGGCTGTATGTTCTGGTAAAACTAAAGGGCTTGAAATAAAAAAGAAAAGAAAGGTTGCTTGGATTTTCTAAGCCTGAGCCAAGCTTCCTGGCTGGGCAGGAGTTCCTTAGAACAGCGGTCACCAACCACTCGGACCTCAGGGACCACCAGTGCTCCAAAGGTTTCCTTAGAGAAGACACAGGAGGGGAAGATGTTCCTGGCAGGGCAGAGAGCCTGGGTGAAGCCTGAAGGTGTCAGAGAGCCGGGCACCACGGGGCATGGCTGGGATGGGGGTGAAGCAGGGGAGGATACTGATGCCTCAGCCACCAGACAGGCCACACCCCAAGGGGGTCCTGGAACACTCACCCATGTAGGGCTTGGTGCCAGCCATGGAAGAAGCCTTCTCCGCCCCCTTCACCACGGTCGCGATGTTAAAGTCTGTGATGTGGACGTGTCCTGGAGACAGAGAAGCAGAGGCCCCGTTAGCAAGAGCTGCAGGAGGCTGTGCTACTCCTGGTGTCACAGTAGCCAAGACATGGACATAACCTAAGTGCTTATTAACAGACAAGTGGGTAAGAATGTGCTATGTATATACAGTGACGTATTACTCAGCCAGAAGAAGGACATCCTGTCATTTGCAACCACAGTGCTAAGTGAGATAAGTTAGACACCTAAAGACAAATACTACAGGATATCACCTACGTGTGGAATCTAAACAAAAATCAAACTCATAGAATCAGTGAGTAGAAAGAGATTGCCAGGGCCTGGGGTGGGGACGTAGGGAGAGGTTGGTGAAGGGCAGCGCTAAGATGCATAAGGTCTGAAGAGCTAATGGATAACATGGAGACTATAACTGATAACACTGGCTTGTATAATTGAAAGTTCCTAAGAGTATAACTTAAATGTTTATAGACAGACTATAGGCCTGGTGCATGAAAATTCATGCACTGGAGGGGGTAGGGGTCCCTCAGCCCAGCCTGCCCCCTCTCACGGCCTGGAAGCCCTCAGGGGCAGGAGGTGACTTGGTGATCAGGGAAAGGTGATGCCCCATCACACCTCTGCTGCTGCCACTGCCAGCAGTGTAAGCCACGGCTGGACCTGGTTTCCTTAGCCTTGGGAGGCCCTGTGTGGCTGGGGGGCTGAAGGGACTGGGGAACTCCAGAGGCAGGTGCTTGCTGCCCCAGTGGGGCTGAGGTGACTGGACACCGCCATCTTGAGGCTGTGGGCACTGCCATTTTTGAGGGCAGGGCAGTCAATTAGCATATTCCCTCTCTATTAGATAGGATGTCTATTTTATGGGCAAGTTTTATAGTACACATTTTTTAGTGGTCCAGGCATATTACCTTTAAATAAACAAATCTACTCATAATAAAAGAGTGATAAAATTATTTATTGCAAGTTAGAGGAACGGACCCAGAGAGTGAGAGCTCCTGGTGAATAGCAGAGGCAGGTCCACTCAGACTGCCATCCCAGGACAGCTGCGTGAGAGCGGGTGCGGACAGGGCAGGGCGCGGAGAGGGCTCTGTGCCCGGAGGATGCTCCTGCCCTCCTGTCTCGGCTGTGGTCAGAGGGGGCCTCAGGATGGTACCTGACAGATTTAGTGGGGGCTGGGGGGCTGCCCTGGGTGTCTGGCACCTGGCCCTGGGATGCTGGGATGTCCAGGGCAGGCAGTGGCCTGGAGGGAGAAACAGTCAAGCGTAGACTACAGACAGTAAAGAGTGGCTCTCCCCCCCACGGCCCAGCTGTGGAAAGCCAGAAACACAGCTCTGGCTTCCACCATGGCCATGCAAGGCCGGCCTGCCAGAGGGGGGCCAGGAGGAGAGGGTGGGGCCCCGGGAAACCACTGGGGCCAGGTGCTGTGGCCCCAGGAGGTGAGCACACATCATGTGGCCTTAGTCTAGGGAGCAAGCCTGCCAGAGCTTAGCTACCCAGTCCTGCGTGTATGTGAACGTGGCCTTCCCGTCTGCCCATCAGGCTCAGGGGTTGTTCCTTGCCCAGCCCCGTGGGACCAGCAGAAAGCAGGGCAGCCCTTCAGCCGCTCACCCCTACTCCCTCTGGCTCTGCCTGCAGCCCCAAAGCACCTCAGCTCCTCTCCCTCCCTCCTGCGATGCCGCCTCTCCCTCCAGCTTCTCTGCTTCTGCTTCTGGCCACGGGACCCCATCCCAGAGCCCAGCCAAGTGCCACTCTGGGGGGCAGGGCCCCGCCTGGGGGGTCAGAGAGCCAAGCCCACGCTGGGGAGGGGCAGCTCTGTGAGAGGCCTGGACTTTGCGTGAGCAGCAAATTTTAAACATTATCAAAGAATTGTTAACGCATCTATTTAATTATGTGTCTATTTCACAGTGCACGCGGCCAAGCAGCGTGCTCTCCGAGGAAACGCTGCGTGAGATTGATGACCAGACACTGTGTAAACAGCCAGGCAGGGCGATCTGCTTTGCGCGCTGTCCTGTGATGCCATTAACCAGCGGTCAGGGGACGCACCGCACAGCGCGGTGACCGCAGTCAATGAGGCCGTGTGCCTGTGGGGGTAGATCTTGACTGCTCTTGCCGCACATTGAACGGAAGGCGTGTGACGTCGTGATGTGTGAATTAGCCTGGCTGCGGCAACCATCTCACAAGGCTCGTGTGCATTAAATCGCCGTGTTGTACCTTAAAAACCACGCTGGCCATCCTTACCAGGTGCAGCGTTTAAACTCCAGCCATAACCCAATACAGCTGGGCGCGAGGCAACAATGGCTAAGGATCGAATAAAGGCCAAGGCGCGGCTCAGTCATAAATCAGGGACAAGGGCCCTCTGCGAGGGGAGGGGCTCGTGCTTTCTGAGAGCAGCCTGCTCTCAGGGTGCTCTGTGGACCAGCTCAGCGGCTGCACCTGGGAGCTGAGAGACCCAGAATCTTCCGCGGATTCAGCCAGGCTCCGGAGGCACGCACACGCTTGAGGAGCCTGGGTGAGGGGAGGTTGGCGGGCGATTGATCACTGATGACGGATTTTTGGCTCCCCAGTTGTACACTACTGTAAGCTGGTGAAAGGGAGGGCTGCTCTCAGAAAGGGAGGGCGAGGCAGCCACTCACGCCCTAGTATGAAATAGTGCCTTCAGCGCTCTGTCCCAGTGCCTGGCGGAGACACGTGATGAAGCAGGAGCAGAGGAGGAGCAGGTCCAGAGGCCCGGGGGGAGCGTGGGGTGCTGCCCCTCGACTCGCAGGACAGCCGGCTGTGCGTGGCCGCGCTGGCCCTAGGCCCAGGGTCCTGACGTGGCTGGGCACACCTCCCTGGGGCTGGCCCAGAATGATGGCCCCAGAATGACTCGCCAGAGCGGGTCAGGCTGGCCTTTGGTTCCTACAAGTCTCCCTGGGGATTCCCACAAGACTACCGGACAGCCCGGCACGGAGCCTGCGCTCAGGGTGCTCTGTGGACCAGCTCAGCGGCTGCACCTGGGAGCCAAGAGACCCAGAATCTTCCGCGGATTCAGCCAGGCTCCGGAGGCACGCACACGCTTGAGGAGCCTGGGTGAGGGGAGGTTGGCGGGCGATTGATCACTGATGACGGATTTTTGGCTCCCCAGTTGTACACTACCCGCGTGGCCCCATGATGATGGGGAAGCTGGGCATCCCTTCCCTGTTTGGCAGGTGGCACCGAGGCTGAGAGGTGAGTTGCTCCCCGCAGTCACGGGGTCACTGTCACCCATGGGGAGCTGGGGTCTTGACCTCAGGGCCTCCTGCCCCTCTCTCATCCCCACTTCCTCCCGGTCCTCCTCACCGGGAAGCCGACAGCTGCGTGTCCGGACATGAAGCCGTCAAATACGCTGGACGCCACTCCCCCTGGCAGGACGCCGACCAGAAACATACACAGATGCCCACCCACCAGGACCGGAGCAGGAAAGGCTTCCAGTCCATCCAGGGACCCCCCTTCCCCAGAACCCCCAACCCCACGCCCTCCTGCGGCGCCCGCAGCCTTACCGTGCTCGTCCAGCAGGATGTTGTCCGGCTTGATGTCCCTGCAACGGAAAACAGGAGCTGAGACGGGCTCCAGGCCGCCCACAGCACCGGACACGGACCCTCGGGGACACGGTGGCCCAGCAGTAGCCTGGCAGCTCCTCTCCCCAGCGCCAGCCCCGGGAGGAGCAGGAGAGTCACCGGGATCCCGGCTGCCTGCGCCCCCACTCCCTGCTCTTCCTGGAACTGCAGGGATTGTGTGAATTTTTTTTTTCTAGAAGTCTTTTCCTTCCTTCCTTCCTTCCTTCCTTCCTTCCTTCCTTCCTTCCTTCCTTCCTTCCTTCCTTCCTTCCTTCCTTCCTTCCTTCTCTCCTTCCCTTTTGGTTAATCCTCACCTGAGGATAATTTTCCTGTTGATTTATTTTTTTAGAGAGCGTGGACAGGAGGGAGCCAGCCTTCGCTTCATGGGCTCCCCCGGAGCACAGGCCACGGCGGACGCGCCTGCGGAGGCCACGTGGGTGCAGGTGGAGGGGGAGCGAGTCTGCGGACCCCCTCCCTGCGGAGGCCTGGGCTCCGGGTGGGGGAGGCGGTTATTATTGTAATGACAGGAGCGGAGCCGAACCTCATTAAAGAGCCTCTTGACCCAGAAGCATGAGAGCAGCTCTCATCTCCTCCTTTTTAAACATTCTGGACTTGCTGGCCTCGCCGAGGAAGGCACATTAGATTAAGGACTATTTCCTCTGGAGGACGCCAGTGCAGAGGAGTCACAATGTCTCAGATGCACCAGGGCTTCCAGTGGACGAACCACCAGCATGGAGGTGGCGGGACCTGGGGGGGCCAAGGCCTGGCAGCCCCAGAGCCGCTGCTGCTCCAGCCTTGCTCATTCATCAGACTCACCAGAACCCGTCCTCCTGCCCCCCCAGCTTCCACATTTCCTGTTCCCCTGCTGGCACCCTGTGCCCAACCCCTTGCCCTTTCTTCCCCATATGTAAGCCCTCCTGGAGCTCATCTCTCTCAGGGGTCAGTCCACTGTCCTCCCGCATTGCCGTGCTCTCTGCCGAACCACCTGCCGCGTCTGCGTGCCCGCTGGCAGTGAGGGGGGTCAGCGGACCCGGCGGTTGTGAGGAGTGAACAACGTGGCGCACACAGGCACCTGCTGGGACCTGCTCCGGCCCGTGTGCCAGGGCAGCATCGCCAGGGCTGCTCACTCTGATTGCCCCCCACACCGAGTCACCTGGCAACTGGGCATCAATGTCAACACAGACACAGTCAGCTCCCGCACACCCGGTGTGGGAAATCCCCTTCCTCGCAGCTGGCTCCCGCACACCCGGTGTGGGAAAACACCCCGCAGCTGGCTCCCGCACACCCGGTGCAGGAAAATACCCCCGCAGCCGGCTCCCGCACACCCGGTGTGGGAAAACACCCCGCAGCTGGCTCCCGCACACCCGGTGCAGGAAAATACCCCCGCAGCCGGCTCCCGCACACCCGGTGTGGGAAAACACCCTGCAGCTGGCTCCCGCACACCTGGTGTGGGAAATCCCCTCCCTCGCAGCTGGCTCCCGCACACCTGGTGTGGGAACCCCCCACAGCTGGCTCCTGCACACCCGGTGTGGGAAAACACCCCGCAGCTGGCTCCCGCACACCCGGTGTGGGAAAACACCCCGCAGCTGGCTCCCGCACACCCGGTGTGGGAAACCTCCTCCCCCGCAGCTGGCTCCCGCACACCCGGTGTGGGAAAACACCCCGCAGCTGGCTCCCGCACACCCGGTGTGGGAAACCCCCTCCCCCGCAGCCGGCTCCCGCACACCCGGTGTGGGAAAACACCCTGCAGCTGGCTCCCGCACACCTGGTGTGGGAAATCCCCTCCCTCGCAGCTGGCTCCCGCACACCTGGTGTGGGAAACCCCCTCCCCCGCAGCTGGCTCCAGCACACCTGGTGTGGGAAACCCCCTCCCCCGCAGCTGGCTCCCGCACACCTGGTGTGGGAAAATACCCCGCAGCTGGCTCCCGCACACCTGGTGTGGGAAAATACCCCGCAGCTGGCTCCCGCACACCCAGTGTGGGAAAATACCCCGCAGCTGGCTCCCGCACACCCGGTGTGGGAAATTCCCTCCCCTGCAGCTGGCTTCCGCACACCCGGTGTGGGAAATTCCCTCCCCTGCAGCTGGCTCCCGCACACCGGTGTGGGAAATCCCGCAGCGGCCTCCTGCAGGCCCGGTGCCCGCCCGCCGAGCTCACCGGTGGATGATGCGGTGCTGCCGCAGGTAGTCCAGCGCCAGCGCCAGCTCGCACACGTACAGCCGCACGGCGCCCTCGGGGAAGTGCACATGCTGCTGCAGGTGGTAGCGCAGGTCCCCGCCCAGCAGCAGGTCCACCACCATGAACATGTCCTCCTCGTCCTGGAACGAGTACCTGGAGCAGAGGGCAGAGCCGTGAGCGGGGGACGCCCGTGCCCCACTTCACAGCCACACAAACAGGCCGGGGAGAGCCCCAGCACTGGCCCCGGCGCTGGAGACAAGCGGCCTTCACAGTGTGGCTCCAGCATCCTGCTTCCTTCTTAGCAGACGTGTGAGCGACGTGGTCAGGGCTGGCGGGCACCGTCTCCCAAGATGCACCCCTTCTCAACAATCCCTCTGCTCCCCCCACACATGGTCCCCCCAAATTCACACACACTGCCCCCACACACGTGCTGACCACACACACATATGTGTTCCCCCACACACATGCATTCCACCCATACACATGCTCTATACACACACACACACACTCCCCACACACATGTGCTCCCCACACATGCGCTCCCCCCAAACACACACACTCACTGCCCACACACATGCACTGCCCATATACATGTGCTGCCCCCACACATGTGCTCCCCACACACATGCAATCCACCCATACACATGCTCTACACACACACACACACTCCCCACACACATGTGCTCCACACACACACACACTCCACCCACACACATGCTCTACACACACACACACACACACACACACACACACACACACGCACTCCCCTCAGCCAGCTTGTTTCCGTGACCCCTGGATCCAGTGATGCTCTTCCAAGTCCAAGGCCAGGGACCAGGCCTCAGGGAACCTGCAGCTCCTGCTTCCTGCCTCTCGGAACCGGCCAGAGCCCCAGCCCAGCCCCAGGGAGGAGCCATGAGAAGGAGACGAGATGAAGGTGTGCTGGTCAGCAGCCTCAGAGGAGCAGCGGGGGGGAGGGGGTAGCGGGTTGGGAGGAGGGCGGCCTCGGATGACATCTGGGCATCTGGGTGTCCCAGGGCAGCCCCGCTGATGCCACATGGAGAACTGCCCAGCAGAGCCCAGTCCACGCACAGAACACGAGAGAGCAAGATGGCGGTGATGTCAGCCATTCATTCGGTTTTAGGTGCCTCTGCTCCTCCAAAGCAACAGGAAACTGACACAGACACCAGGCCTGGGCCCAAGTTCCCATGACAACACTCCACCATTGTGACCAGGTCTCGGGCACCCTCAGCCACGGCTCCGTCTGGGACGGGGCAGCTTTGTGACACTGTGACTCTGCGTCACAGCTGTCTGAGGCCGTCCTCAGGCTCCGTGTGTGGGCTCTTCTGTCCCTAAACAGCAATGACTGCAACGCCTGCGCTTTTAAAATCCTCACTCAAGGATACGTTTTCCATTGACTTTTAGAGAGAGTGGGCGGGAGGGCGGGAGGGAGGGGGTAGAGAGACACACAAAGAGGGAAACATGGACGTGAGAGACACATTGAAGGCTGCCTCGCACACACGCCCCAACCAGGATCGAGTCTGCAACTGCGGTTGGTGCCCTTGACCAGAATCGAACCCTCAACCCTATGATCCACGGGCTGATGTTCTAACCACTGGGACAACCAGCCAGGTCACAGTGACTGTGCTTTCTGATGTAAGCTACGGTGCTCTGGAACTGACGGAGCCTGACCGACACCCCTTCCCGCCTGCCAGAGGAGGGAAGTGTTGAGATGCGCCGAAGACAGCAATCAGCTGCGACATGCCTCCCGCAGGGGCTGGATTGGTATTCTAACAGCTGGCGTCTGCCCGCCGCATTAGTCACGTTGTCGCCGCCCCCCCTGCTCCCAGCTCCCAGCCCCCAGCCCCCAGCTCCTGTCAAAGGGCTCTCATCGGCATTCCACGGAGCTCTGAGAAGCACGGAGCTCTGAGCAGCACCGGGAGTGTTCAGGGAGCAGGCTGGGACGCATGCTGAAGAGGAAAGCCAGATGCAAAGAGCAGTGAGGAGCGCCCCAGCCCGACAAGGCTGCCTCCTGCTGACACCCACCCTTCCCTGGGCCACGGCCAGCTTTATCCCCAGAAACGCGGTGTTATCATTGGGGAGGGGGGAGAGCAGAGGACGCCCTCTCGTTTCTCTCTGAAGCTTGTGCTGGCAGGCTCTGTGTCATGGCCCCATTCGCAGTTATAATCGAATTCCTGTGCTGCAGGCGGTGCTGGAAGGGCAGGGTCACCGTGAGAAACCCCGCCTGCTGGGCGTGCAGGCCGTGGCAGCTGGGTGAGGAGGCTCAGCATGAGGAGCGCAGACCTCAGAAGTGGGAAAGGCATCGATCCCGGCCTGGATGTTGACACAGACCAGCATGAAGGACCTACTGTCTGTTTTTAAAAATCATTAACTGCCCAGCCGGGGTGGTTGAGAGCTGACCTATGAACCAGGAGGTCATGGTTCGAGTCCTGGTCAGGGATTGTGACCGAGTTGCAGGCTCGATCCCAGATCGTGCAGGAGGCAACCAATCAATGATTCTCTCTCATCACTGATGTTTCTATCTCTCTCCTCCCTTCCTCTCTGAAATCAATCCTATATAATAAAGGCCTAATATGCAAATTTCCCCCTCTACCAGGAGTTCAACCATGAGTTTGTCAGCTCACTATACATGCGCTGACCACTAGGGGGCGGTGCGGACCATGGCTTCCTTCTGTAGCATCGTCTCCTCTCAGCCAACAGTGCAGTCCTCTGAGCCTGGAACGTGGGTGTCCACGACTCCCCTCTTCCCCTATTTCTGACTACCAAGCCCCGCCAGCTCTACTTCCTTCCCATCTCAGGAACACGTGGCCGTTAAAGACGCTGGGTGCATGTTAAGGCTGTAAAGTTAGGTGAAGAATTCAGAGTATCCTACTGGCAAAAGTCGGGGTGCCACCTAGCACCTCCTTGCAGCAGCGGACATTGGAAATTCAATATTAAAAGAGTTGCATCTAGCCCGGCTGGTGTGGCTCAGTGGTTGAACATTGACCCATGCATGCACCAAGAGGTCACCGGTTTGAATCCAGGTCAGGGTACATGGTTGGGTTGTGAGCTGGATCCCCGGTAGGAGTGTGCAAGAGGCGGCCGATCAATGTTTCTCTCTCATCAATGTCTCTCTCTCTTTCCCAAAAAAATCATTAAAAACATTTAAAAAAAGAGTTGCATATCCCAAGAAACTAGAAACACCAATCAGAAAGGATCTATATTCATAGCGGCACAATTCACATAGCTAAGATTTCAAAACAGCCTAAGTGCCCATCAGCAGATGAGTGGATTAAAAACTGTGGTACATCTACACAATGGAATACTGTGCTGCAATAAAAAATGTTTTTTACCATTTGCCACACCATGATGGACCTGGAGAGCATTATGCCAAGTGAAATAAGCCAGTCAGAGAAAGATAAATATCACATGATCTAACTCACTTATGGAATATAATGAACACAAACTGATGAACAAAAACAGCTCCGGATACAGAGAAACATCGATCAGACCATCAAACCTCAGAGGAAAGGAAGGGGAGGGTGGGGGAAGGGGGAGAGATCAACCAAAAAAACCTGTGTGCATGGATATAGGCCTAACCAATGGACACAGACACCAGGGGGGTGAGGGTGGGGGCTAATGGGGGGATGAGGACACGTATGTAACACCTTAGTCAATAAAGAAATTAAAGAAAAGAGCTGTATCTTTAGAGCAGACACTAACCCGCCACCCAGTAAAAGGAGCAGGTGACAGAGAGAAGGACAGCAACAGCCTCTGGCTAAGAGGTTTGGCGAGCGGAGCCTTCCCCTTCCACATGCCGCTGCTTCCCGCGGAGAAAGGAAGCAGTGTGCCTTTGGAAACCCACTCGTCAGGAACCCACTGAGGCGCGGAGAGGCACGGGAGGGGATAACAGCTCCCTCCCCCTGAGCCCCTCACGGGGTGGGGCCTTAGCAGAGACCCTCACTGGGGGGCCAACCTGAGGGGAAGAGGGGAGGAGCGGCTCCCCCTATACTCTCCGCCCCAGGCCACCCTGAGCTGATGGCTGCAACGGAGACCTCACTCCCCGCCTGCCTGGTCCCACACGCCCCTCCCATGGGGCCCAGCTAAGACCTAAACCATCTCATGTCCCCACACCCCACACAGAACCCCCTGCGTTCCCTCGCTGGCTGCAGTGAAACAGAAATTCCTAAGCCCCTCCTACAAGGCTCCCGGTGCTCTGTCCCGTTTCCCCAGCCTCGACTGTCCTCGTGTGACCTCTGCCTCTGATATTACTGCTACTGCAAGCTGCCGACACATACAACTGCTCTTCCTGCCTCACACTAGCCTGGATACCGCCACTCACCCTTCCATCTTCGGCTCAGAAAGCCTGGTGGGACCTCCGCTGGCTGGCTGCAGCGCCCCCTCCTGTCCTTTCTGTCTTAGCACTCACCTGCCTCTCCCGGGGTTCCCTGCACACCTGTCTGTCACCACATGAGAGCCCTGAACTCATTGAGAGGGGGAACCCCATCCTGTCTGTGCTCCCACTTTACCACAGCGCCTGGCACAGGCCCTCGGCCCTCGGTGGCTGGGTGGCTAGACAGCCCAGGTATCGCTTCAGGACCCTGGACAGCTCCCAGGAGGGCCTTGGCTCCGGTGGCTCCTGAGCAGAGGGGCCTGAACTTTCCTGGGCTCTCACCTGCGGATCCTCACATTCATGCGGGCTGGCGTGGGCATCGACCTAAGAACCAGGAGGTCATGGTTCGCATTTCCGGTCAGGTGCATGCCTGAGTTGCAGGCTCAGTGCCCAGAGGGGGCATGCAGGAGGCAGCTGGTCAATGATTCTCTCCCATCATTGATGTTTCTATCTCTTTCCCTCTCCCTTCCTCCCTGAAATCAATAAACATACTTTTTTTTTTTTTTTTTTTTTTTTTTTTTTTTTTTTTTTTTAAGAATTCTTACATTCTATGGACTGGCCTTTGTAGCTCTTGCCTTCAAGACCCAATCCATTATTCCAGAATGTCTCTCAAATCCGTCTACTTCCCATTTATGTGCTGCAAACAGGATCCAAGACATCATTCTCTCTTTCCTGGGCCACCACAGACTCGCTAGAGAGCCCGCGAATCTCTCTCCCATGCAGCAGTCTCTCCAGAGGCATCTTTTCAAAACACAACTCGGCT